AGGAGCAAACTTGAAGAGCACAGGAAAACATAGGAATAAAATGAAGCTAACTTTTGTTTAGTCGGATGACATGATTTAAAGTGTGGTGGAAGGCAAACCGATGAAGGTTTACGGTAAACCGTAGTACTGAAGTTGGATGTGTTACGTGTGACCAGAATGTCGAGAAACGGAAGAGAATTGCAAGTCTCAAGTTCAAAAGTGAACTGAATAGCAGGATCAATAGAATTCATTGTTGAAAGAACTTTATTTAAATCATCTTTATTACCTTCAAACAGGGTAAAAGTATCGTCTACGTAGCAGAACCATGCCGGGAAGTTTAAAGTTTCAAACAATTTTGATTCATAATAATGCATGTAGATATCAGCCAGGATGGGACTGAGGGGGCTTCCGATGGCTAATCCCTCAGTTTGCTTGTAATATTTATTTTGGAAAACAAAATGTGTTTGTTTCAGACAGAGTGAGAAAAATTAGCTCATCAATTTCGATGCAAGAGAAATGAAATTCGCGAAGTCTGGTTTCTAGACATCTTAATGCACCCTCCACTGGGACATTGGTGAATAATGATTTTCATCAAAAGAAACCATGAGTAAATTACTAAGAGAAATGTTTTAACCTTTTTATAAACTCTATTGAATTTTTTATGGTGTAAATGTTATTGTCTAATAGAGTTGAAAATCTAGAAACTAAATATTTAGCTAATGGATACGAGGCAGTACCTAAATTCGATACAATAGGGCGGAAAGGAATACCACTTTTATGAATTTTGCGAAGAGCATATAATCTGGCACAATTCGCAACAGATGGGATAAGCGAATGTTTTAAGTTGCTTGAAATGATTTGCGAAGATTTGATCGCAGTTTTTATTTTTGACTAGTCCGAAGGTGAAGGATCTTTAGGGATCGGATTATACGGTCATTCGTTTAAGAGTTTAGTGACACCATCGATGTCAGTGTTCTTATCTATGACGACTATCTGGCCAACTTTGTCGGCCTTTGAAATGATAATATCCGGGTTAGAATGAATTTCGCGCATTGTAGCTCTTTCTCTCGCAGTTAGATTTGGTTTCAAAGGTTTATTATTGAATTTCACATTATGAGCGATAAGATGCCTAATCATTTTTTTCTGTGAATCTGAAACTTTACTGAACTTGAAAGCTTTTTCGGTAGGAGCCAAAATCTTTGGAATCGAGTGTTTACAGGTTTGTGAGAAGTTAAAATTATATTTTAGAATTCTCTCTGGTTCTTCTGAAAGACTAACATTAGAAATATTAACTATTGGTTTGATGTTTAGAATGGGAAGATTTTTTGAACTACTTTTATTTTTGAACTACTACTAAGACGTTTTTATTTTTGTCTGGTGAGAATGCAGTCAGACCTTGCGACTCTTCTACATTTTTATTTTTCCTTTTAGTTTCTTCTCAGCTTAGAACGAATGGAACGGTTATGCTTGCCCAAGCATTCCAAACAAACGACATCGCTTTTACATTAATTAATGCGACGTTTCGATTTCAAGCATAAGAATCATATTCCTTGCTTGCGCAAAAAATTGCTCTTCTCATCAAAGGTGAATGACTCATAGGAATGTTTCGATTCGCAAAATAGACACTCATTAGTACTTCTGTTATTACTGATTGCTACCAAGAATTGCCAAACTGAAGGTGTCACCGCTTGTTCTCTTTCCATATAAATGAAGTGCTTTCTGATTTATGAGTAGACAGGAAAAGATATTTTCCTTTATGGCATTTGGTTTTCGAACGAATTGCAGTAACTCATCGACGTTAAAAAAAGTTGATAAATCTGTTTTACGATTAAACACCAACAGTTATATCAGAAGGCAATGTTTTCATTATCACTGGGATCAACATATAACTATTTCTCTCGTGTGATTTCTAATGATTTCAAGCTGCGTATTTGTGTTTCTATAGTGTCAAAAAGTTTGCCAAATTTTAAAGTGTTGCTGGATTTAGTTACTGAGGAGATTTAGGAGTTTTTGCATGCGTGAAATTATAATGATATCTCTTTTGCTGAACCTGTTTTCAAGTATTTCAAGAACTTCGACATAATTTGTTTCCGAAATACAAAAACCTTCTATCGTTTTTGCAGCGTTGCCGCATAGGTACGATTTTAAATAACTGAAGTTTTCGATTTTCGTTAAAGATTTATTATCGTAGACTGCAAATTTGAAAGCGTCCTAAGAACTTCTTCACTGGGTATAAACGCCATAAAATTTAGAGGTAGTTAATTTTAAAAGATGAGTAAATTTTTTACCTTCGTTTTTGGAATGTTCAGATGTTTCATTAGAATATTCATACGATCATTATCTGAATTTCCCAATTTATTTAATTCCTTCAATTTTTTCTTCGCTCTAAATTGTCACAGTTGTATTTTCTCTTCGTACTCCAAAGCGGATGTGACTTCAAATTCATCCGTTTTGGCTTTCAAATCACGTTCTATTTGAGTATCTAAATCACTCAGATTTTTGATTTTAGATTCTTTGAGTTCAGAGCGTAAAATCACAAAATATCTTCACTTTACTGAAAAAAGATTGTTTCTGGTTACTTGAATTAAAAAATAATCATGAAGGAAGCGAACATGGATATTAATTTTTATTTACGATTTGCATTCTATATCGATGCTAATAAAAAGTTAAAAAATACTTCATAAATAGTGATATTGTTTTAGAATTCAACACAATTGGCTATTAAAACAAGAAAAAAGTGTTTTTGAAACTTTAATTCATTGAAAATAAAAGTCAGTGTAAAATATATGTAGATTTTATCTTTGAAAACTCTTTCTCTTAAGGAAAGTCTAATTAAATTTTTATTTTTAATTAAAAATTTACACTGGCCTGGAAGTAGTCGTTTAAAACATACTAAAAATATTCTAAGGACAAAGAGTCGGTACAAAATTAAATCTCACTCAAAAATATTAATCCAATTCCGATGTAAATTTCTGGAACTATTGTGCAGAAATTAAGATAATCTGAAAACTCAGAAATTCTGATCAAGAACATGATCTCAAGAAATAAAAGGAATCGGCTAGTACTTCTGTTCTAGTTACGTATGTCAGCAAGTTTTTCCTTAGAATATTCTCGCAGAAGTCGCATTTCTTAAGCGATAATCCATCTGCAATTTAGCAGCAGCTGAGCAATGTACTATTTACGTACGTTGCTCGTTTGGTAACCGCAAATAATAGAAATGAATTCTTTTCGCTTATGTGTTATGCAATTTTAAAATTAAAAAAAAAAGTAATTTGAAAAATAAGTTATTAAGGAACTAAGCTTTAGTTGCATATTTTTTATTTAGAAAAGAAAAATACTTCTCTATTATAATCTAGCATCAACTTGTTATTCATAACTTATAAGTAAACTTATGATTAGAAATCAGTTTGTATATTATTTTCATTTTTGTTAAATAATTATATAGGTCTATTATGCGTAGCAAAATGCTGCTTATTTGATTTATTATTTTAGGGACACAATTTATAAACTACAAAATAATAGGTAGCTAACAAGAAAAGCGCTCAACAAGGTAGTCCTTTATAGAAAAGAACTTGCTAATCTCTTTACTTCTTTCTAGAATTATTGGTGATTTTCATGCAGCTCGAGTCCTAATTTGGTATGCGTAATGGTATGCCATACATGTGAAATTCAATTTATTAAATTCAGGAGAGAACATTTATCTTTTCAGTCACGTGCTTCTGCTTTATATTTTAGCCACTCAAATATTTCTTGCTTTGCTGCATAATACTCACACTTTATTATTCTGTACCTTCTTCAGTCGTATACACTTAGAAGTTCTAAGCTTAGTTAAGATTATTGAGATGGTTAATATTTTCGATAATGCGAAACTGAAGGTTGCTTGCGTGAATAAAACATCAAGATTAGAACTATTATAATGCATAGTTATTGTAAAAAGAATCTGAATATATAATGTGATGTGTCTATTATCGACGAAGAGAATAAACTAATTATTTACTATATTTAGCTCTTGGCTAAAATTATCGAAAAGTGTTGAGTATAATGAGATACATTTTAGGTCTTGCTAACAAAATGGATAATCCAGAAAAGAATTAATTAGATTTTTAGTGCATAATAAACTTTTCGCTTTTTTTGTTAGCATCTCTTTTAATGCTGGCTCTATTCCTGGCCATCATTTTGAATTTTATTTTTCCTTACGCATACCCCAAATATACGTACAACTTCTTCCATTTTTAAAATAAATTAGTAGTCTATTTCACAATATTTTTATCTTCTATAAATATTGTGAGAAATAAAGAAACAGCCAAGTAATTTTCAGAAATGGACATGCGAAATTCTTTCAAAAGTTTAACGAATTTGAAATAACACCTCTATTCACGAATTCTCTTTAATTGTGTAAATATTTCATTTTCGATGTTAACTTGAAATGATCACACAAAAACTACAGTTCCTAAAGTCAAAGTACAATTTCTAAAGTTACTCCTGTACAACTACGGTGTCAAGCTTTAAACCTTAGCTTGCTCAGACAAATTATCGCCTTGCACTAGAAAACTTCCCTTTTACTCGAAAAATAAGAACAGCTGTTAGTTATAGGTTAAAGAAAAAAGAATATTTCAAAGGAAACCTCAGATTTATCAGTCTTTGAAACAAACTATTAAACCATTTTGTATTATGTTATTTTTTTTTTTTGCTTATTACGTGCTCCGCCCTTGGGCACTACACAAAAAGGGAGGAATGCCCCGTTGAAGTCTTTTTTTTTTTTTTTTTTTTTTTTTTTTTTTTTTAAGGAAAACTGGCTCGTATCCACGTTACACATGGGGAGAGCCACGAAAACCCCCATCCAGCCAGCCAGCCCGTTCGCCGGGACTCGAACCGAGTACCGAACTGCCAGTGTTCAGCGGTTTTTACCGCTCGGCCGCTGGTGGGCCTATGTTATTTATTTGAAATGGAAAATTTGTTTTAAGTATAACATTAGTAAGTTCTGCTATTTTAAAATGAGGATATTTTAAATATAAGCTTACCTCTCCTTTTGCGTAATCTGGTGGCTCAATAGGAGGATATTTTTTAGGTTGATCAAAGGCCACATTTTCCATGAACCACCGAAATGACTTGCACTCTAATTTCTTCCTTAAGGACTTCTGTTCTGTCAAGTTTCCGACTTCTAGAGTTCGGTAATGAGGTCTCCTCATATACAAGTATTCTTTGTATTCGTCCATCCAGACTTCTGCCACACGCTTGTAATTCTGTGCAAAATAATATTCTGCTTTACAGTTTGCACGTATTTACCAAAATAAAAAAAATGTGACAAATAATGACAGTAATAATAATAGTACAAGTAATAATAATGAATACAAAAAGAACTCATAAATTACTTTTAAGATCATAGGTAAAATAGTATGCAGTTGAAAGCTCTGCTAGTATCAAGATTCTCAAAGCTCTTTTCCTGTAAAACCTTTGCTTATATATTAGCAGTGAAAACTTCAAATCTAATCTGATTAGTATAAAAAGCGCATACGGCATAGAACACTAATTTTTGATACTTCAGCCCATATCTTTTCATTTATTCTATCAGAGAATGACATAATGTTATTTAATACTTGAAACATGTTACTTCAAAATTTTGAAAAATGTTGCCGATACTAAGCACAGTGTATATTTTTTAAAATGGCAGCTTTACAGCAAACCGGCATGCATGTATTAAATACCATAAAGAGGTTTAATAAAATGGTAGGTCGAAGGATAGATTAACAACGCATCTCTTAGATATAAATTTCGTAAAATCATCTGAAGAAGTTGTTCTTGCTGTAGATTTATTTTATCGAAAGCATTGAATATACTAAAAATCAATGTAAGGAAAATTCGTATTACATCAAGCAGACAGATTTACACCTATTTTTTTATTCCGTGTTTAGTTACTTTGCAGAATTAAACAAAATAGTAGTACAGTTACTATAATTACGAATGAAATAATTATCTACTGTCGTGCATTACTATTTAGATTTGAGTTATATAAATAAACTCACTAACAATAATGCTTCCAGTGAAGCTGAACAGATGATACCAAAACATTGTAATGCTAATTCGCGTCGGAAATAATTATATTGAAATTCGAATAGCACAGCAAAGGCATAAGCATCATATTAATTTAAATAACTTATTCCTGGAAACTATAGCTATCATGCTCTCTCTAATGTGGTATTTAAATGGATGCTTAATGTTAACATCCAGTTAAATTATATGCGACTGTGTTAATTTGAATATGGATAATTTTGGTATATGAACAATTTAACTTTTTACTCTAACTTCGAAGTGCCACTTTGTATTTATAGAAGTGTTAATCAATAAAGTACCACATTTTAAAATTTATCTAACTCAGGCGAACCATCGCCATCAATGCTATATATTAGTAGCTAGTAAACTAACAACTCAAACTAAAACTTGAAAACTTTATTGCGCAGCTAATAGAAGTTTAAAAATTAAAATTACAAACAATTTGTAAACAATTTATTCATTACTGTGTGCAGAAAGTAGTAAAAGTAAACTTAAACTTTTAATTTAACGCAAAATTCAACCTATTCTGAGTTCTCACTCACGGATCGGCACGAAATCGGGTTAACGTTACAGTTCAGTAACCAACTTCAGCAAGCGTCAGGTAAAACTGATCTCTAGTAAACAAGCATTAAAGTTGCTAATGAAAGCTATTTATATCATTCGTCTTTGTACTTTTATAGTTGATTTAATTCACATCTTGCTGAAGGCTGACGGAAGGGAACAGAAAGATTGGACAGAATTAATTTAAAAATAATTGGTTGATTTAAATAAAACCTTTTAAATGTACAATGAAACATACTTATTTATTATTTGGGAAAATATCGTTTATGAATCATAAAAAGAGTATGTTTTCTAATCAGGTGTTTGAGTCAAAGGATCACGTTTCGTAACATTCTTAGTGGAAACTTTGTAATGCTTGAACTGAGGTAAATTTTGGGAATGATCAAAGTGAGATAAAAGGAGACACCATTGGGATTTAAGCATTTGGCTTTTAATCTCCTTTGATAGTAATACGCACGTCACTTATATCTGAATATCTTCATTTGTCTACGCAAGAGAATTCTTATTTCTTTTATTGTAATGTTTTGCTGTGTAAGTCATATGTAAATTTTAATCCACTATTTTTCATTTTTAACAACATTCAAATAGCAGTTTCAATGAATTATAATAAAAAAGCTTCGATCTAAACGCAATTTTTTATTCAAAGTATATTTTTAGTCAAATGTAACAACATTTTGTAGGAGCACCGGAGGTCATGTATTGTTTAGAGCTCGAATATCTATCAAGCGTCATCCTCAAAAGCAGATATCTGGATCTTATTCTTAAATAAAAATTATCAGTGGTAAAAGAAAACTTGATGAAAGCAATAAACCGCATACAGCAAGTTAATTCTCCGAGCAGAACAAGAAGCTCTTTTATATCGAATTCTAACTGAACTTAAGTATTTACAGTGTTGAAATTAGCATCAGTAAAAACTGTGATCAAACATGAAATACAAATCAAAAGTAAGAAAACAAATAATTAGAAAATCAGTTATTTTTCGCCTTTATTCGATCTTTCCAATGATATTTTTCCAATTTTGATAAATCCAGAATATAAATAGTTTCAGGATAATTAAAAATGCGAAGATATGCACATACTCTGAAATTCGTGGTCAGTATTAATAAATTTTATTAGATTTTACGCGGGCGTCAGAAAAGTAGTCTCGGGCAGCATGCAGCACGTGGCAGTAAACCACAGTTAGCCATCAAGAATATGATGGAACGTTGATGCTTTTTATTTATATCAATTTAAAAAACATATTATATTCAGTAAAAGTAACTTTATAATTTAATATCCTGGTAAGTATAAATTGGATGGACCGCTCGGTTGCGAATTAGCTAGCGCGTCGGGTAGCTGCACCACAGGTCCGGGGTTCGATCCTCGGGCTAGGCAAGGATGATTCAGCTTTTCATCCGTTGAATGAATCGATAAAATGTTCCCTTGGGGACTAACACCGGTGGTCCTGCGACAAGCTGATCACTTGCCCAGGGGATATGCTGATGCATTTCGAGGCCCAAGGTCAAGAAAGCAGAATTCGGGGCACTGCAGGCCGTGGCCCACTAAGGCTGTTGCGCGTCTGAGTCTAGTTTCTTTATAAGGTGGAACACAGACGACTAAAAACTACTCTCAATTCACGGCAAAACTATTAATAACGTTTATTAGTATAAATAATACTATCAGAATATAAATCACTTTGATAAATATGGAAGTAAATTCCTTTACTTTAGTGAATAAATATTTTGTGGTGGAAAATGTTTTAAAATTCCCCATCATAGATCAAGTAGTTGAAATTTATGTATTTGGATTGGAAATTTAATTTATGCTTCTGTTTATAAACATGTGTTGAGAAAAAGAGAGCTAACATATCAAAAAAGAGAGCTAACATATAATAATTATTGGAAAAAGGATGTTAATTGAAAGTCGTATCTCCAGTAGACAACATTTGCTTTTTTATAGCAACAATTTTTATAATTGCATAAAAATGTGAAGCTGGGAAGCTCCAAAGTGTGCAAAAGAACAATAATTTCAAGAACAATTTTCCTGCTAAAGGGCGAGGGAAGACAACTACAGCCTGTTGCTAAGAAATAAAATTTTCTAATTTGGTTAAGTTCCATTTTCCAAAGGTTTGGTAGCTTTAGACAATCTTACAATTTCAAGTTTTAATTTCAGTTTCTGTTAGAAGAACTTTAGAAATATACTAGCAATTTACATTTAATTAATTAAAATGTTATAAAAATACAGACTTTAGTCACAGCTTCATGCAAATATGTACATATATATGTGTAAAGAAATAATAATTAAATCAATAAAGGTGGTAAACTAACTAGTAAGAATAAATATAAATCAAATTTGAAATAAAAATAAAATAACAATTACATAATAAATAACAAATAGTTGAATATTCTTTGTTCTTTTTCAAGGAGCAGCCCCGAAATTCTCAACACAGCCACATTTCGGAATTATATCTGAATGTCTATCAAAACGAATTCATGAAATAAATTTAAAAATGAGTGTTATAAATAAATTTAAACTAATTTATAATATTGTTGCAAGGTCAGCAGACGAAAGAATTTTCAACTGTTTGTTATTTTCTTTTGTTCAGTTTTGATTTATATTCTTCCTGTTAGTTACATTTAATATTATCTCCTGATTATTCAATTAATTTCGCAGTATACAGTGCAGCTTTAATAATTAATAATCGTAATTTTGGAATTTCTAAACTTTTGATTATATACACTGCTGGACGTTAAACACCATGAAGTGAAGCAAATACAAAAAAGATATTTATTGTACGTAAACAGTATGGCATGAAGATAAAATGATTAAATTTGTAAGCACTTTGGAGGTACAGGGGTTCGAAATTAGTAGGAACAGTTGCCTTCCTTGGCATATAAAGCGGCATGGAGTATGGAGGCATGGAGTAACACTGGGCTTGGCTGACAGAAACGGGCAACTCATTCCATGCTGCTTAAGGTCAATGCCATACTTTATCAACCGTATTAGCTGGAGAAGGGTGACGGGCCAGTCTTTCAGCAACCCATGACCAGATGTTTTCAATGGGTGACATATCTGGAGACCGTGAAGACCAAGGCAGCAGGCAAACACCCTGTGTACCGAGGAAGGTCAGAACGCAAAGTGCAACATGTGGTCTTGCATTATCTTGTTTTTGGAAGGCCTCAAAACATAGGGCACAACCACCCGATGAAAGATGTCAGAAATCTACCGATGTGCGTTCGAATTACCGTCGATCCAAAATAGAGATCTTCGTGTTGTGCACCCAATGGCTGCACAAACCATTACATGAGATGCAGGGATCCTATGCCGATATCGAATGCAAGCAGGCGAAGTGCGGTCCCCTCCAGACATGTATATGGTCACCAGGATACTGCACGAAGAACCGGGACTCGTCTGAAAAGACGACATTGTGCCATTACTGTATCCAGCTTTGTCGTTCAGGCACCAGAGTCTCCGTCTCTCTCTCTATGTTGCATTGTCAAGGAAAGACAAAGTAATGATCGTCGTGTTGATAGTCCACATTAGGGAAGAAAGGCCGGTTTCAAGCTATGTGGCGCTGTGGCGCTGGTGCTGCGTGGCGCTCACAGGGGGAGGAAATTTACCGAGGAGTACGTCATCAACTACGTCACCAACT